TCTTTCTTTCTTTCTTTCTTTCTTTCTTTCTTTCTTTCTTTCTTTCTCTTTCTCCACTTTTTGGTTTTTAATCTGAAACTTTCCAGTGTGCTGTTAAGTTACTAGTATGATATCCAGTTTCTTTGTGAAGGCATTTAGTGCTATGAACTTGCTTCTTAGAGCTGCCTACATTGTCTAACAGAGTTTGGGTATGCTGTGTTTTTATCTTCACTTAATTCTAGAACATTTTAATTTTCTTTCTTAATTTTTGTCTTGACCCATCTTCATTCAGTAGTGAGTTTTTCAGTTTCTATTAGTTTGTAAGTTTTCTTTTGTTTCTGTCATTGTTTATATCCAGTTTTAATCCATGATGGTCAGATAAGATTCAGGGTCTTTTTTTATTGATTTTTCTTGCATCTCTTGAGATGTTCCTGTTTCTGAGTATGTGGTCAGTTTTGAAGAAAATTATATGAGCTGCTAAGAAAATACTTTTGTGTCTTGTGAATTTTCTGTAAATATCTGTTAGGTCTATTTGATTTATGATGTTAGTTACTCCAACATCCTATGTCTGAATAACCTGTCTATTGGTGAGAGTGAATTACTAAAGTCACCCACTATCATGTGTGAAGGTCTGTATGTCATTTAAGCTGTAGTAGTGTTTTTTTATGCATGCGGCTACTGCTGTGTTTGGCGTACAGATGTTAAGATTTGCAACGTCCTCTTGGTGAATTTTACCTCTGATGCATGGGTAGTGTCCTTCTCTATCTCTTCTGATTAGTTTTGGTTTGAAGTATATTTTCTTTCAGATAATAAAATGGCTACACAAGTGCTCACTCCAGCAGCATGTATACTAAAATTAGAATGATACAGAGAAGATTAGCATGCCTCCTGCTCAAGGATGACATGCGAATTTGCGAGGCCTTCCCTGTTTTTCTACCATATATGTCCTTTGAAAGACTCCACCCAGCATGAGGTCAAAGAAGATGCTGAGACTTAATAGCCAAACTTTGAGCAGAGAGCAGGTAGTTTTATGGAAGAGTTGCGGGGGTGGGGGGGGAGACTCGGAGAGGACAGGAGCACCACAAGGAGGCCAACAAAGTCAACAAATCTGGGTCCATGAGAGCCTGCAGAGGCTACATCTGGGATACAAAGTGAATAAATTATAATAAATTAAAAAATTATATTAAAAAATAATATAGAATAAACATACTAAAATCTGTACACCTAAAGAAGCTAAGCAAGAAGGAGGACCCTGGGTAAGATGATCAGTCCTCATTCAGATAGGCAAACTGGATGGACATCAGAAAAGGAAGAAAACAGGGAACAAGACAGGAGCCTACCTCAGAAGGCCTCTGAAAGAGTCTGCCCAGTAGGGTATTATAGACTCAATTCTTAAATTTAGTCAAATACTTCTGTTTCTAATATGAGCTATAAACTATAAAGTTAATATAATCCATTCACCTTTTGTCTTTTGTATTTCTACCTTGCTTGAGAAGCTAACAACTTCTTGGCCGTTCAGACTTTGCTAGTACTATTGGCAGTTACTTGACCTAGATACTTTGAGTGGTGCATTTGAGGGAGTCTAACTTCAATTCTTTAACTCTGAAAACCTCATCATTTTTATTTGTATCATTCCAGAACACTCCTTGCCTAATCAGGTGTATTAAGCTGTCAGTCATCTGCAATCTGCAGGTACGCATATTTTAAGAGACAATTGGTTTTTTCTGCCCAGATTACCCGAGCAACTGTGTTAATATTTATTACCTCCACACAAATTATCATTTAAAATAGTTATTTGCACCTTATTAAGCTGGTCTAAAAGTTTTACCATTTTTATATTTATAAGCAAGCAATTGCATTCTCTCTTGATGTTTATAGTAATTAAATGGCATTTAAATAATGTTACTCAATGCTGAAAGCTTGCATTTGATTTTAAAAGTTTTTTGGTTTTTCTAATTTATTTGCCACTGAGGCTAAGCAATTTTTTATTTTCTGTTATATATTATTAAATAATGCTTCATATATTTAACCTATTATTAAATAAACCTTAGAGTAGAGATGATTAAATTATTTTTCCAAAATATGAAGATTAATGGAGACTTTATCATAGTAATTCTTCCCATCAACCAAAATAACTTTCATAATCAATTATAGTATTACATAAAATTGAAGATTAACACATTTCAAGCCCATCTAAATTATTTAAGCATTTTACTATTATTTCTATGCTGAGCCATAGTGATATTTTCCCTACAAAGTTTATCAAGTAACTTTCAAACTCTTTTGGTACAATTTTCTGTATTAGTCATTTTCTGCTGTAGGCTATAATCAAAGCTCAAAATACAAAAAAGCCTATCATAACATTATTTCTTTTAAAGCAAGTATTGCCAGGAAAAGGCTGATCTATGGCATTCACACGGAAATACTTTGCATTTGACTGAACATTGGTAAAATAATGAAATCATCTTTCTTCTACCGGTAACTTCACAAAAGGATAAATTTAAAGGTTGATATTCTGAAGTTTGACAACTTTGAAAGAATGAGGACTTGATAATTCAAAGACCAAATTCAAAGTATAGAGATAAAATTGAGTGATGCAGTCTCTCAGTATTGGCTGTTGTAGCTTCTTATTGTTAAGGAAAAAGGGAAAGAAAACCAGAGCCCTGCAAAAGAGGTCTTTGAATTTTGGATGTGATTATTTTACATACAGTTGAAAGTCAGGAAATCAAAAAGAATGTTATACAGCATAGTCTTTATGCAGAAATAGTTTTTCTTATAATTTTGTGACTACATAATTATTTAACATTAGTTTAATTAAATAAAAAGGTCTTGGCTGCATTTATATTGTGATGATAAACTAAAACTTAATCCAATTATTCTTTTCAGGGTGACAAGAGTCATGAGATTGCTGTGTTGGATGCAGAAGACTTCATTAGTCATGGAAAATGGAGTAACAGTTCTTCAGGATATCACAGGTCTAGAAAGATCCAGAATGGGTAGGTGCTCAGCGCAGAAGGGCTCAGAGGGAATCTTGTTCTTTGGCCTGGTCTGCTTTTAAGCAAATCCAGTTATTCAAGGAGTGTGCAACTTCGTTGAGCATTCTGAAGGATTTAGCTAAGAAGACTAAGTTTAAATCCATTTTATTTTCCTCCTCTATAATTTAAATAATGGTAATATTAGTGACCTATCAGAGGTCTAAGGAAGTCAGCGCAAAGCACTGAGGCCCTGTAAGCCTCAGCCATTCCATACTCACCATTTGTGAATAAATTACAGGGAGAAACAAATCAGGATCCAACGCAAGCTGTCAACCATTGCAACTTTGTCTAAGCTTTCACCCAGTGAACTAATAAAGGTAGTGTAGACATTTTGAACAAATGCAACTCAATTTCAAAATTCAAATAAACATCTTACTTTATATTTTAAACGTATTATACAATAATACTGAAAACAGCATTATAATATTTTATATGAAATAGTACAGAACTACTGTTGAGAACTGTGCATATATGATGCATATAAATTTTTATCTATCACAAGTTTTGTTAATAAAATTAATTTATAAACCTATTCTTGATGTCATATTTCTTGTAATGAGAATTTCACATATGTAATGTATTTTGATCATGTTCACCTTATACTATCTTTTATTTCCATTTAAGTGTGTTGATTCATTCTTCCCTTTATATATGTGGTATACAATTTAAACCATTAATTTTACAAAAAAATGTAATTTTATTTTATCAAATTTAGCTAGTGGCTTATTGACAGTAAGTACAACTGACCAGCTATATCTTCTTGACAAATCTCTTATGTAATGTAGCTACAATTATAATTTATGTTTCATGATCTATGTCCATCACACTCTGCTTGATATAAAACATTCACTGTATCTTTCAAGTTCAATCCACAATAGAAAAAAAATAAAATAATTCTCATCTATCTGTTATCTAAAAATCATTGTTTTGTATTGTTTTGTTTTTTTAACAAATGAGGGATCAGTTTTAGAACTGGCAATGAAGGACACAATTCCAGACTAATTGATAATTATGTGAGACAATGAGAAAGGAAATGAAGTACAGATGTTTATAAATTAAATGTGACTACTTATTTCTGCAAATACTAATATATTTTATAAATATAATTATACTTGGGGGTGAGTATCAAATCACTAAGCGTCAAGACAGAAAATTGTATTGTCTCTTTTACAATAATAAAAATAAAAGTAAACTGAAATTTAAATTCTTAGTTTCTGTCTAGAAAAAGGGTACAGAAGATGCAGATTAGAAAATGTTGGTTTTTGTTGATGAACGCTGTGAACACTGGACACAGAGAGTGACAGAAACTGGTGGACAGTGAGAGGTAAATCCCTAACTTGTCAGTGGAACACTGGGTGGGTCATGTAATCCTAGGCTCATAGCAATAACTGGAGGAAACAGTTAACACGCAGGAGCAGGCATGTCTCTCTTCCGGTGTTGCTTGCTGACCACAGTGTGACAGGGAAACCCATGCTGGCTGTTCAGAGCTTGTGACACACCCGACCTCTCACTGTTTTGTGTTGTTGTTGTTGTTTGCGTTTTTCGTTTGATGACTTAATTGTGTGTATCTTTTTAAAATTTAATTCATTTTTTATCCATCTTACATCCTGGTTCTAGCCCCCTCCCTCCTCCTCTTCCAGTCCCACCCTCACTCCCCTCTTCTTCCTCCAATGCCGCCTTTTCCTCAGAAAAGGGGAGCTCCCTTTCCCATCCTCCCCAGCTCTTCAAGTTGCATCAGGACTGAGTAATGTCCCCTTCCCCTGTGGCCTGGCAAGGCAGTCCCACTAGGGGGAAGTGATCAAAAAGCTGCCAAGTGAGTCCATGTTCAATGCAGTCCCCACTTCCCTTACTAGAGGACCCACAGAAGGTCTAAGCTGCCTATCTGATACATCTCTGTAGGGGGCCTAGGTCCAGTTCCTGCATGGTCCTTGGTTGATGCTACAGCCTCAGCAAGCCCCTCTGGGCCCTGCTTAGTCGATCCTGTCGGTCTTCTTGTGGAGTTCCTGTCACCTCTAGGTTTCTTTTCTCTTCCCTCCCACTTTTCCCTAAGATTCCCTAAGCATTGCCCAAAGTTTGGCCTTGAGTCTCAGCATCTGTTTTGAGGTTCAGTCGCTCGGAGGGCGAATCTGTCAGCTGTCCGCCGATAGGATCCTGACAGCCAGACTTCCCACGGATAAGTGTTTGTGATGTCTCCCATGTAGGAAATCAGAGCAGAAAGAAAAGACTTGGCACCAGAGCCTTGCCTGCAAAAGGGTTAATTATTATTATTATTATTTTTAATCTCCCATCTACATTCTTCAAGAATGTCAATGGTCAGGTAGGGTTTGAAAGTCCCACGTCCTTTCTCCCTCCAGGATGGAATGTTGAGTGTTTTGATGGTATAAACATCTTATGTAAATAATCGTATCTGTGAAGTCATAAATAAAGCAGTCCTGTCATGTCCAGAAGACACTTTTGTGACTTGGTCTTTCTCAGTGTCTGCCTTTTCCAATCTTTAGCCTCATTCTTCTGCAGCAGTCCCTGAGTCTTGGTTGGATGAAGGATAAAATTGATGTCCCATTTACACCTGAGAATGCCACATGAATTTATTATCTGTGCTTGACCAGTTGTGAATTCATCTTAACTGCTTTGCCATGCACTGAGAAATTTCTCTGGCAGGTCCGAGAGCTGCACTGATCTGTCCATATAGAGATATATGTTTAGAGGGCAGCTTGGTACTAGATCTATTTAACAAAATTATGATATTTGATTCACTTCTAGCGCCAATTAAATTCCCAGCTGCGGGTTCTAGGCCAGATTTAAAGTCTAGGCCAGCCTTAAAACTAATCAAAAGGCAGCTGGTTACCTCTGTATTATTTCTGACACCATTGTGCTTATGGACATATCTGGCTAGACCAT